CCTATTCTTGCACAAGTTGAGGATTTCCATGCTAAGCTTGGAGGTAGTGAGGAAAAGAAGAAAGGATAGAAATTTTAAAAATCTGGAAAGGATAATAATTATGTAATAATAATAATGAATATTTATTGAGTGCTCATAATGTGAAAGCCACTATAAACTATTCTTTATTTCTTTTTTCAAAAGGCTAATCCTTAGAAGAACTCTATGAAACTTGTATAAATATCACTGCTTTTTTATAGATAAAAATCCAAACCAAACTCACTGCTGTTGAGTCTAATCCGACTCATAGAGACCCCTCCTTGCCTTTCCAAGGCAGTATCTCCATGGAAGTAGATGGCCCTTCTGCTCTTGGCTCACTTTCTTCCAAGGAATGGCTGGTGGGTTTGAACTTCCAGCCTTCTGGTTAGCAGTCAAATGTCTTAGCCACCAGAGCTAGAAAGATATTTTGGGATGTTAAATTATTTTTTCAGTCACACAGCTTGGAAGTGGTAGAGTTCAGATTCAAATCCAGGCTGCTTGACTTCTGAGTCCAAGCATATAATCACCAGGCTCTGTTATGTCCCTTGTCCTATCTTTGCCAGTTTTGGAAACTTATATAAGTCACTTCAACTCTTTCACCTTCAGTTTCCTCATCTGTTCATTGGAAATGATATTACATGCCTGGATTTTTAAATGCACAGTCTCCTTCGAGGTTCATGTTCTTTGCAAAGAGTTATGTACAATGAGGCACTACTGTGGCTGTTGTTATGTGCCCTCGAGTCGGACCCAACTCACAGTGACCCCTCCTTGGGTTTCTGAGGCGGTACCACTGCGGAAGTAGATTGTCCAACCTTCCTTCCGAGGAGTGGCTGGTAGGTTTGAAGTGCCGGCCTTCTGGTTAGCAGTCAAGGCCTTAGGCACTACGCTACCAGAGCTCCTATTACTGTGGCAGGTCTAGGCATTTAGAAAGACAACCTCAATTTCATGGAACACTCTGGTGGACATCCAACTATAATAGCTTGTTTTCTTTTGTTACTTCTCAGAGATTTCTTTAAATAATTTGCCTTTTACACTGAAGCCTGAGTGTGCAATGATTTTAGTAATTTTTTTAAAAAAACTTTTCTCAAATTAAAATCCTAACTGAGATCTCAATGCCAGGCAGAGAACTCTGTGTTTCTCTCTCTCTTTATGGACTATTTGCCCCTAACTCTGTTTGGAAAAATGGAGTCATGGACTTGGAAGCCCAGAGGTACATTGTGGTCAAGGGGACTTGATCTCTGGTTCACGTTCTGCTTGAACAGACCACACTCTGTGTGACCCTGAGCAAGTCACTCTCCCTGCATTTTCTCATTTGTAAAAATTAGGGCAGAGGATGAAAATGTTCTCTAGTAGGTCTTCGGTTTCCCAAATTAATAAATCAATACTTTTACTTTAGCCTTTCAAATTTTGTTAAAGCATCCAAGGTTAAGAGTGGCTACTTAAAATATTATTTTATTACCAAAGGGCTACATGCTCAATTAGGAAATTGGAAAACTTTGGGAAACCCAAGGGAGAAAATTTAAAAATCTACCACTCCATGATAACTTCAGTCAACATCTTAACAAATATGATCACTCCTCAGCAGTTCACATGAATATATTTTTGATGGGATCATACAACATATACTTTCTCTAATCAATTTTTTTTTCACAAAAGAATATATATTTAGCTTATTTTTCTCTATCCTTTTTAACAGTATCATGTCACTGCATCGAGTTGGATCTGACTCATAGCAACCCCTCCTTGGGTTTCTGGGGCGGTATCTCTATGGAAGTAGATTGCCCAATCTTCCTTCTGAGGAGTTAGCAGTAAAATGCCTTAAGCACTACACCATCAGAGCTCCTATATGCTGGCACAGGATATATAATTCATAGCACTTACCTTCATAATTGGACTCTTAGGTTGTTTAAACAGTGGCTTTTATTAATGGACAGTAATTACAGTCCCTACAATTTAAAGTGTATTCTTTGAATCGTCTAATGTTTTTTTCTGAAGGTTGAATATAAGTTCCCTGGATATTTTTCTTTTAAACATTTTACATTAAACATTTAAACAGTTTCAACTTTTCCAAATTTTCACATGTTCCCTCTCTCTCAACATGTATCTTTCTGGGGAAAAATACAAAGTTATGACACATCTAGAAAAATGTGAGTCTGAGTTGACAGTGACAGCAAATTCTAGGTTCTTGTTTAACAAATGGCAGCCAACTTGCCCTGTGAAGCTCTGATTCCCCTGTGCATTCTTAAGTCTCCTCATTCATTTGCTGACTTAGTCCATCAGTAAAGTGCTCAGTGACCATATTTATGTGCCAGCCACTGTGCTAGGGGCCAGTTCTATGAACATGAAAGTCAGAATTTTTGCTTATGAAAAGCTCATAATCTAATTAAAATTGATATTGTTATCTGCCATTGAGCTGGGCCTGACTCATGGACCCCATGCCAAGAGAATGAAACTCTGCCTGTCCTGCACCAGGTGATGTGTCATCCACGTGATCAGTTTTGGATTGGACTGTTATGATCCATAGGGTTTTTCCCGGCTGCTTTTCAGCAGTAGGTTGCCAGGTCTTTCTTCCTAGACTGTCATTGTCTGAAAGTGGCCCTAAAACCTGTTCAGCATCATAAGAATATGCAAAGTTTCACTGACAGAAGGGTGGTAGCTGAGCATGAGGTGCATTGGGTGAGAATCAAAACTTGGTGTCCTGCAAAGGAGATTAAATTAGAATGTCTGAGGTAAATGCAGAGGAGGGACCCCAATCCCAACCCAGACAGAAGGTGTGTTCAGGTAAATGCCACAGCTGCTGGATTACAGCTGGCCCCATTTGCTCCTGTGCCCATAGGATCGTGTGAAGTAGCGCCAGCTGAAGATGTGTGAAGAAGAAGACAGCACTGCCCTGGTGTGTGACAATGGCTCTGGGCTCTGTAAGGCCGGCTTTGCTGGGGACGATGCTCCCAGGGCTGTTTTCCCATCTATTGTGGGCCGCCCCAGACATCAGGTGAGCAATATTCTGGTGCAATGGAGAAAACGGACTACACTCTGGGTCCCTCCATGTCTACAGATATCCACACATTGTCTATCACTCTCTGCCCAGCAGTCATGTAACTGTAAAAACACACCTTCAAGCATTGATGACCTGGTTAGGTACTAGCTTCATATACAATGTAGACAGGTTGTCCAACAGGTGTCTATTCTATATAGAGTCTCCCTATTTCATATATCTTTTTTGCTTAATGTCATCATTGTCTTCATCACTATTATCAGCAGTCCTTATGAGTTACTGTGCTATATACCATAGTTACTCTTTGGAAAGAAACTAAAATAAAAACCCAGGTTCCTCACCTTCATAGAGCTTAATATTTAGTCAAAGTAAACACTGTCACCAAATGCAATTTTTCATAATGTTACCTATCAAGAAATATATCTGGACTGCCACATGGCAATTTTACATTATATTATGTATAAGCAAAATGTTGGTGACAGCCCCATGACAAAAACTAGAGAGTGTCACCTCAGAAATTCCATTAGCATCAGAAACGTAATCGTGCATTGATCTGCTCTGATTGATGTTTATGACGCTGAGTTGGGCATACATTCAGGAAAAGAAATGATAGAGGCTTCTACCAATGAATGAGATCTCTCTCCTTGTTTTATCTCCATGGAAGGGAATATTTGTGACCAGCACTATTTTATGGCTCTATATTATCACAGAAGTTTTGTAGTTCTAAAACAGTCACTTTGATGCAATTTAAAATCTAGTTATGAGATATCCCCCGCTTTTTTAAAAGCTTTACTTTAATGATTTTTTTTAAACAGTAGTTGATTAATTCAGGCAAATGACTCCATAGCTGATTTGTATGGATTAATCCATTAGCAACTAAGAACCAAGTAGTCATTTATAGACTTTTGCTTCTAATGGTTAGAAAACCATAGTTATATACTCTTGGGTAGGTGATGGTTTAAAAGTATAGCTTGAAGGACTTATAAGAAGAAAACTGTCATTTAGAT